GGCAATCCACTCACCTCAGCTTCCCAAGGCGTGGGATTACAGGCTGAGCCACCGAGCCCGGCTTCTTTTTTTTCTTAAGTTGGAATCTCACTGTCACCCAGGCTGGGGTGCAATGGCGTGCTCATGGCCATGCAGCCTTGATCTGCTGGGCTCAGGCAATCCTTCCACCTCAGCCTTCCAAGTAGTTGGAACTACAGGCGCACGCTACAACGCCTGGCTAATTTTTGGATTTATTGTAGAGACGAGGTCTCACCAAGTTGCCCAGACTGGTCTTGAACCCTGGGCTCAAGCAATCCTCTCACCTCTGCCTTCCAAAGTGCTGGGATTACAGCCTTGAGCCACTGCACTTGGCAAGAGATCTTGTCTCTTAAAAAGAGAGAGAGGGAGAGAGAGAGAGAGAGAGAGAGAGAGACAGAAAGAAAGACAGAGAGAGAGAACCAGAGGTATCCCTTGGAAGTGTTTATGAGGAAGGAAGGAGTCAGGAGTCAGAATAAGTTCAGGGAAGGGACCAGGAAGGAGAGGTTCAGGCGAGGATGGGACACAGCCACTTCTGGGCCCTAGGGAGGATTTGGGGTTTTATTCTAAGGAAGATAAGAAGCCTCTTCTTGAGGGAGAGGGGGATTGCAGGGTTTAAGCAAAGAAGGGCCAGGATTTAGGCGTAAGGTGATAGATCCACTTAGATGGAGGGGATCATAGGGGAAACATTTATTGAGTGCTGACTGTATGCCAGGCCATGAGCTAAGGACTTTTGTTTAATTCTTCTGGACTCCTGTAATGCCAGGAGTGGTAGCATCTTCCTACTGGTGCCAACTCCAGGCTACCTTATCACCGTCTCCTGCTTGGTTTTTGAGTCCCTCTCTTTCCTGGGTAACCACTTCCCTGAATCAATCCATTCTGTTGAAAATCCTAGCTGGGCTCGGTGGCTCAGTCTGTAATCCCGCACCTTTGGGAGGCTGAGGTGAGTGGATTGCCTGAGCCCGCGGGTTCGAAACCTATCTGGGCAGCGAGACCTCATCTCTACAATAAATCAAAAAATCAGCCGGGCGTGGTAGCGCATGCCAGTAATTCTGGCTACTCGGAAGGCTGAGGCGGAAGGATTGCCGGAGCCCAGCAGGTCGAGGCTGTGGTGGCCGGGAGCGGCCACTGCACTCCAGTCTGGGCGACCGAGTGAGACTCCAACTCAAAAAAAAAAAAAAGAAAAAGAAAAAAAAAAACGAAAGTCCTAGCATGATTTGTTTATTTTCCTGGTTGAACTTCAGTGATTTTTGTTGTTGTTTAGAGGTGAGGTCTTGCCCTGTTGCCCAGGCTGGAGTGCAGTGGCAAAATCATAGCTCACCGCAGCTTCAAACTCTTGGGTTCAAGTGATCCTCCTACCTCAGCCTCCCGAGTAGCTGGGATTACAGGCACCTGCCACCATGCCCGGTTAAGTTTTGTATTTTTTTGTAGAGATAGGGTCTCTCTACATTGCCCAGGCTGGTTATGAACTCCTAGCCTCGAGCAATCCTCCCACTTTGGGTTCCCAAAGTGCTGGGATTACAGGCACAAGCCACTGCACCTGGCCTGACCTTCAGTGATTTTACAGGTGAGGAAACAGAGACCCAGAAAGGTTGAGTAATTTGTCCCAGACCACACAGCCAGGAGACAGCTGAGTCAGGATTCGAACACAGGCAGTCTGGCTCTCAAGGCAGGGTGGAAGTTGTTGGGTGATTACTCTCGCTACTTCCATCCCAGACTTCTCCACCCTGACCTGTCTCCCTGCCTCTGGCCCCAGGTGCTCTCCCGGCCCGGCTGCGCAGCCACCCACCTCCGAAATCACCTCTGCTTTGGTCACTGCTCCTCTCTCTACATCCCCGGCTCGGATTCCAGCCCCCTAGTCCTGTGCAAAAGCTGTGAACCCACTCGCAAGCACCGGGCATCCGTGGTCCTGTGGTGTCATGCTGGCAGCCCTGCCTCCCATCGGAGGGTGAAGATATCCACCATACTAGTCGAGGGGTGTCACTGCAGCCCCAAGGCGTGAGCTGAGCATTGTGGATGGGCGTACAGGGACATGCACCTGGGAGAGATGCGGAGAGACGGGAGAGACAGCCTGAGACATGGCAACGACGGCCCGAGAGACGCCGACCTGGATGACGTACACTAGGTCAAGAGACCAGGGATATAGGAATAGGTAGACAGGTCCCCAGAGTCCTACCCTGCTTCTGGGTACCCTAGACATGACCCCAGTTGTGGAGCTGAACCCACTAATTGTCATAGTATGTGCGCTTTTTCTTTCCTTTATTTTTAATTTTAATTTTTTCTGTTTGAGTTTGAGTCTCCCTCTGTCACCCAGGCTGGAGTGCGGTGGCATCATCACGGCTCACGACAGCCTTGACTCTCTGGGATCAGGTGAGCCTTCCACTTCAGCCTCCCGAATAGCTGGTACTGCAGGTGTGTGCCACCACGCCTGGCTAATTTTGTGATTTTTTTTGTAGTGATGGGGTCTCGCTATGTTGCCCAGGCTTGTCTCGAACTCCTGGGCTCAACCACTCCTCTTGCCTTGGCCTCCCAAAGTGTTGGGATTTACAGACGTGAGCCACCATGACTAGCTTTGTTTGTTTGTTTGTTTGTTTGAGTCAGAGTCTCACTCTGTTGCCCAGGCTGGAGTGCAGTGGCATGCTTAAAGCCACTGCAGCCTCAACCTGATGGGTTCAGGCGATCCAAGTAGCTGGAACTACAGGCATGCGCCACCACGCCCAGCTAATTTTTTGACTTATTGTAAAAGACAAGGTCTCTCTGTATTGCTCGGGCTAGTCTCGAGCTCCTGAGCTCAGCCAGTCCTCTCGCTTCTGCCTCCCAAAGTGCTGGGATTACAGGCATAAGCCACCGTGTCTGGCCTGATTTTTAATTTTTTTGTAGGGACAGAATCTTGTTATGTTGCCCAGGCTGGTCTCAAACTCCTGGCCTAAAGCCATCCTCCCACCTCAGCCTCCCAAAGCACAGGGATTATAGGTGTGCGACTGCCCCCAACCAACGTGTGCTTATTGGCCACTCACTGTCTGCCAGGCCCTGTGCTAAGCATTTGAAAGGTACTAACTTGTGTAATCCTCACAGCAGCTCTTCGAGATGGCAGTTAGCATCACCCCATTTTACAGATGAGAAAAACAGAGGCCCCAAGAGGCAAAGTCCCTCCCTCAGGGTCACACAGCAGTAAGACGGCACAGTCAGGATTCAAAGCCAAGGCAGTGTGACGCCACTCCTCATCCCTGGCCTGAACTGCCTCTCACAAGATGAGTCACAGACACACTCCCAGCTGCAGGGAAGACAGATGGCCCCACCCAGACCCGGAGACACAGTGAGGACCCTGTCCCAGGGCACCAAAAAACCAAAGCAGGCAGGCGGACACAGCTGCTGGGGACAACCTGAGGTCCCTGGGACAGAGGCAGGATCCATGTGTTCCCAGCCTCCACAGAGGCCACCGTGCCCCCTCTAATCCCCACCTGAGTCTCCACAACCCCCTGCCCCCTGGCGTGGCACTCCACAGGAACCATAAAGGTTGCCTGAGCCCAGCTGTGTGCGTGAGTGTTTATTTCTCTCACTGGGGTTCCCTGGGAGTGAGAGCCCCCCCATCGGGTGTGGGCATCGGGGTGCTCCCCCCCAGCTGGGGCGCAGGGTCTGTGGCAGGCGAGGGCGGCCTGGCTTTGGGCGGCTGGAACCAGGGCCCTGGCAGATGGGCCCGTCTGGCACAGACACAGGGACATGTGGCGCTGTCAGTGTTGCCTCCAAATGCCCCCCAGAGCGTGGGGCGGGGAGCCGGCCGGGCCCTTCTCGGCCCTCTTCCTGCCTCAGGAAGGAAGGCCCCAGGTGAGGGGAGCAGGAGGGGACCCGAGGAAACAGATGGGCCGGTGGGGCGTGGGAGCCCGAGACCCCTGACCCCACAGGCCTGCACAGAGGGATGGGA